AGGCTGTACAGCCTACCTATAATTTCAATTTAAACTAAAAGTATTAATATATTTAAAGAATAAAGTAAGATACCCCTAGAACACCCAGAATATCTCCAGTAATGCGGAATATGGCCCTTTTCTCGCCCTGATACCAATGCCATTTCGGCCAACGTACATCGCCCATATGGCCAAATACAATGGCCAATAAATTGCCGGTCCGCCTGTCTCATTAAACGAAACACATGAGATGCCGGAACGTTCTGAGGGATACAGATACACGCACACACGCGTACACGCACACACCGATGGCCATTCGCATAGGACGCGCTGTGCGTGTGTCGTCCCCTTTTACGTTTAATTCAATAATGCAGCGGCAACTCGTTTGTCATTTGATGTGTGCCACGCCTCCGTGCCTCCACCGCCGCTTCTGTCCTGCCATCTCCTCACCCCCCTACGGAAGCTGGCGAAAAAATCAGAAACAGGACACGAAAAAGGACATGGCACAGTGTGTGGGAAATACTTCCCATGCTTATTGCGTACAATAAATATTTATCACAAAAGTATGGATATATTATTATATATATTATTTAAATTTTAAAATTTAATAATACAATAATACTAAAAAGGAGTAGGTAGATAGATGGACAAAATACATAAAGTTTTGAAGGATCTTCACTGACACTAAGGATACAGATTTATATCCAAAAATCTAGTATTATTATTCAGTAGAAGTGTATGTATTATAATTTCAAAAAAGGTCCTTTAATTCCTCTTATCCCTTCCCCTTTCCCAAGTGCCTTTAAGTATTTAAATTTGCTCATCTTTAATTATATTTCATTCAATCTATTGAAACCTACTTAAGGCCATGGGAATTAATCCACTGTAAGGTGGGCGAGTGGGTGGTCTGGGAGGCTCTGGGTGGCGGTGTGGGCGGTGCGGTGGTTGTGCGTGTGTGCCTTTCATTTTCATGCCACAGTCGAGGCGCTCAAGCAAGACGAGGCTTTCAATTTCTTACTTTTCTCATCTGTTGTCAGATTTTCATACGCTTCTGTCACAGGCTGTTGCCTCCGTCTCCGTCTCTGTCTCCGTTGCCGTTGCCATTTCCGTCTCTATCGCTCACCACTCTGTCTATCTCTTTCCAGCTCTCCGGGGAATCGATAATTTCATTTGGCCAATCTTGAATATGGCTTTAAAGCCACTTATGGGTATGTCCTGACTGGCTCATCAGGATCTCGGCACCGGCAACTTCATAAGTTCCCGCCTCGACTCTGCTCCGGCTTAAACAATAACTTCATTTGCAGGCAACTTTTTTAATATGCAACCATGTAAGTACACATGGGCGTGGCAGTGGGCGGAGAGGGACGTCACGGAGGCGGCACAACCTGCCTGCAACTCAATTTAATGCAATTATAGTCAACATAAAATTGATAAAGTGCGCTGCTGCATGTGCCGAGAATAGCCGGGCGAGAACGAGGTGGCCCAGACTGGACAGGATGCCCCAAACTGAGTCCTCTCCCGCCTCCTCTCCTCTCCCCTACCCGATGGCTGGCCCAAACTTAACCGCCTGGAGCATGGAGCATATGCAGCATAAGTGCACATAGTTGTTTGAGGGTACATAGTTGCACTGAGAGTAATTGTGAAAATAAAGCAGAAATCATTCATCAAAGAAATTTGTAAGAGGAATGATTTCTTCTCATTATCTATCAGCTCTGTAGCTCTGTAGCTCTTTTTCTATGATAACTTCTATTTCTAGATACAATTTGTCTAATTTTAGTATCAAAGTTACCATTTATTGTAAATTAAAAATATCATCTGACATAGTTTGTAGTAAATTTGTTATAATATTAATTTCTTATCTAAATAAAATTAAACATCTAAATTAAAACATGTTTAACAATCATATGTATATAATATTTAACGTGAGGTAATATCTTCCATCTTTATTTTGAAAAATTGTATTACCTATTTGGCTAATATAAAAAATTTTACCAAATAATCGATAAGTTTTGTATAAAATTTTGTTTGTTAAAATATCATAAAATCATTAACAAATCAAGAGTTTGTGAATTTTATTATATTTTATTTAACAATCCCAAAAATTCGGACTAAAATTTTTTATTGATGAATAAAATGATATTGATGAATGAAAAATTAAAATTAAAATATGAAATACTCCATTTTTATTTGATCATATTTTATTGCTTCTATTAATGATAAGATAATATTGTTAAAATATTAATTAAGGTTGAAAGTATTTTAAAATTAAAAACCAGTCCGAATATAAGCCCCACCACTTAAAGCTTCAAAGTCTCGCCCCTAAGCATGATGCTAAAAATGTTGTCAAGTGCCTGAAAGCCTCTCAGTTCCCCGTTTTTTTCGAGTGTATACAAGCACTCGGACGCATTGGCCGTGGAAATTAATTACCAGTTGGTGCATAGAAATGCAAGCAAAGAGCCAGAGAACATAGACCGACCACAAGATACTTTTGGTCGGGTCGTTTTCATTCCGAATCCGTTCCGGGCAAGCACCACAAACACCTACCGTCCGACCGACCACCTAGCCGGCCCACTCGCCGCCCACTCTGCAACACCCGGCGCCACCCAAAGCCCGCAAACCACTCGACTGTTATCGGCAACTGTGCGAGATTTCATAAATTTCACTGGCCATTCCAAATTAAAAAGAAAAATCGGCCACGCCGCCCCAACAAAGCCAACAAAAGTTGAATCGTTAAAAAAATAAAAGTGAACGCAAACTTTCACAAAAGGCATTAAAAATTAAAAAAAAAAAGGAGGACAGTAAAAAAACACACAAGTGTGTTTGCTGAAAAGTTACAACGAAAAAAGAAAAAAAAATAAGGAATATGAGGTTAATAATTCTTTCTACCTTTTGCGGTTGCGGGGCGCAAACTTTTATTTTATTTATAAATATATAATATATATACGAGAACATTTTATAAATATATTTTTGAGTTTCTCTCCGAGCAGAAAATGTTAATAATTGGCTTGGCTGTTCAAGGCGGAAGGACCTTACCATAAATTGCTTGGGATATTATCGTGGCTACCACATCGTCCTGGACCCCCACTCCCCACCTGCGTCCTTGCTCCGCTTCTCGTCCTTGGACGTGTCCTCGTCCTTGCTCGAACTCGGAATTGATTACAGTTCATTTCATTTTGGCTTTGTTTATTTCCTTGCTCTCTCTTTTCATTCTCATTCCTGGCCAGGACCTGGCCCCGCCCCAACCCTCGCGCGGCAGGCCAACATTGATATGGCCAGCGATTTTTTCGTTCATTTCAATATTTATTTGTGTGAGTTATTATTATTATTATTATTGCCACGGCGGTGCCCTCGGAGCTCCGGCTCTCAAATATTAATTTCGCGTTTTTTATTTGCATTTCCGCTCCTGGGAAGCTCGAAACTTGTACTCGCCACTCGGCATTCAAATAGCTCGATACGTATTATTGTATATACTGGTAAGTATCTATGAGATACATTCCTTCCATCAGCCAGATTGTTTGTCTTTAATTATGTGTGAGTAACTCACTTGATCGGCTTGCTGAATTGGGAAACTGAAATTCAAATTGATGGCCAAAGTATGCCCGCAACATAATATCCTTATCCTTTCGAAACAATAACAGCCACGAACAATCCTTGCATTCAATTAGATGGAATTTAATTCCATTGAGCTGGCCCCAGTGCTTGGGCCTTGTGGCATTATCCATCCGAAAGCCGAGTTCGATTGGAGTTGGCCTCAGTTTCTTTTTGTTGCGATAATTGCATAAGTTTGTGATTAGTTGGCCGGGACCTGATTAAATAATGCATAAGCCAGGCCCTCCAAACCGACAGCCAACCAATTAACACAAAATGAATATTTGATATCGGCCAATATATCGGCGAAGTTGTAATTGAGCTTTGAATTAATAAGGGATATCCCTCCATCTACAGTTAATTGATGGTGAGCTTTTGACGGTGAGGGGGTGAACAGGTCCAGCGATTAATTTACAAATTGAATAATAGACTCGCAATCCTCGATAGGCCTATGCCTTGTATTTCAAGTGGTTTTTGGGCGCTTGAGGATTAAGGAGGTCATCGGAAAAGGCTAAATAAGAAGGGGTTGGCGTCAACACTACAGCAGACAGCGGAAATCACTAACAATGTTAGTCAACCACCGAATCAGATGCATTATAGCTTTATTCAATGAAAATTAAAAATAAGTTCCGATAAGCCCCAATTAAAATATTAATTTAATAAAAATAATACATTATTTTCTGCTTCTCTAAAAATTTTGGACCCAAAATTTATTCCAAGAAAAGCATGAAAAGTTTTTAAAAATAATTCGCTTAATAATTCAAGCCTTGTCCTGAACATTTAATTTGTAAGACCTCCCGCCCCATCTTGGCCAAAAATAACAAACAAGTCTCTTTGAACCTCTTAAGCCCTGCCACGCCCCTCCGCCTGTAACGCCCACCTAGGCAGGAGGAAAAGTACAGTTGACATTTGGAAATTTATGCGATTCAGCGGCTCATTTAACACCGAAGACGATTTAATCCGATCCACGACCGGCCTCCCCTTACCGAAAAAGCTGCTGATTAGTAGTAGATTGTTGTTGTAATTAATAGATGGCTGGGACGAAGACCCTTGAACCTTGAACCCTCCAGCCGCGGTCGCCCAGCCCAGTCGCAGCTCCCATTAGAGGGTTGCCAGGGCGCTTCAACAGAAATCTGTCATAAATGGCCGAAAAGGAGGGAAAATGCAAATCACAATGAGCCTTTTCTTTTCGCCTTCCGACCATCTTGAGTTTCTTATTATTATTATTTTCTTACTTTTTCTGTTTTGAGGCCACAAATATGCGCATAATTAATTTGTTCATTTTTTTTTGCAAAGGGGGCTCTGCTGAGTAGATTAAATGGCATTTTGTCAAAGTGTATTCAGAGTATTTTAATTAACCCCGACACGGAGCGACATTCGTCTATGTGTTGTTCTGGGAATCCTTTGAATATTTAAGTAGTTTCTTTGCTTACCAACCAGGCCGTCCGGTCCTGCTCTGAAGCTGGTGTTGTTGCTGTTATCCTCGCCCAACGGTGTCCTCGTGTCGTGTGTCCCGTCTTCCCCTGGTGCGTTCCCGATGTCCTGTTATCCTTCGAGTCTAAGTAAGTAATGCCAAAGTATTTAGTCTGCAAGAGCAACAAGCAAATGGAATTCTTTAGTCAAGACACTCGCCGACGTCATCATAAAAATTGCAAACACATCTGACAGCCATTTTGCTCGCCCTCAGGCATGTCCTGACAACCTGGCAAGGATATGCGGACGACCAGAAACTGACAGCCCAAAAAGGATGTCTGAAAGCTGCTCACGTCACTTGCAGCTCAACTTGTTCTTAGATTTTTATGCCCATGTGTTGCACTTGTCCTGCTTCTCCATCCTCTTTGTTTCCTACATTTTTTATTACACTGCCGTGTAGCACATCCTGTATATCCTGCCACGACACACACGGACACAGACAGGCTCTGTATTTATGCATATAATATTTGGCAAGTTTTTTGTCTGCATTCCGGCTCTCAAATGCTTTTTAAATATTTTATATTCGATTCGATTCGGCCCCTCCGGCAGCCATAAATTAAGCCCGCACAATGAAAACATTTAAATTCCAATGCTATAGAAATCCCCTCTCTTCCTTTGTGAATCCTTTTATCCTTCATTTATTGGAAAAAAAAATTCAATTAATTTTGTGCGGCACTTAAATTGTGGCTGACTTTCTAGGCCCATTTAATTCCTTTGAAATTATCACATCATATAAAATGAATAGTGTCAACATTTTTAGATTAATACACATTTAAACACTATTCGTGATGAAAACTGATATACATATTATTGGAGTAAGCACGATATATAGATAAGAAGCTTGAAGGCAATGGCATTTAGAAATAAAGAACACATCGGGCCAGACCCTAAAAAAACCCATAAATTAACATAAATCCTCTAATTAACATTTTGAAAACTTATGTTTTCAATCTTAGCAACTCCAACTCCTCCCAAAGATTTAGAATATTTTTATATTGATTAATCTTTTTTTAAATCAAATATTATTTGTCAGAAATTCAAAAATATTTCATAATTTTTCATATGTTTTACCTTTAAAAGTAATTCCACATTTTATGAACCCGCTTTTCATGAATGCCAAAATGCATTCATACTCTTGTCTAACTTTTCCCCCATTATCCTGTGGGCATTATGCATCCCTAATCCGATCGGAGGCAATCTGATTTTTATTTTCAGTCCTTTGTTTCGGTTACCAGAGCTAATTGAAACGTAATCCCCGTACCGAGCCAGAAACTTGCTCCTCCCGAACACAGAGCACACAAATGGTTGAGTTTTTGAATTTTTGAATTGGTAATCCACGCCAAAAACAACGCCTGGCAGGAACAACAAAAAAATAACACATGGCAAGAAACCCAAAAAGGGGAAATAAATGAAAAAAATAGTAAAGCTTTATCCTTTTAGTTTGTTCCGATTGTGTGGGGAATGGGAATACTCTTCGAAACAGGACTTTGGTTAAGTGATAAAAGTGAAAGCTCTAAAAATACAAATACCCATGTGTTTCCTAATTTATTATATTTTTGTTTTTGTTTTGCTCTCTTCCTATAATATTTACTCATTATGTCAGATCCTATCAGAACCAAGACTCAGCAACGGATTATTTTAATGGCTTCCTCCGAAGGAGAAACGGGAGAAAGTTTCTGGGGGGGATTCTGAGAGTTCCTGGGGAGAAAACTTTGCCTTTATATCATGTGGCCTGTCAGTGAAGCGATTCCCCAGAACAAGCCGTTTCCTGTTTGGCATTAGCTTAGGGTATCACAAATGCGACCACGCCCCCATTCCGTTTCCCCAGAAAGCGCCCGCCACACTCTGCCACAGGACGCAATATGAGAAGTGCCCGAAGTGCGAATTTCGCGTAAATAAATTTAATATCTGACGCAATCTGCCACGAAAAAACAAAAGAATCAACTTAAAAAAATGTACACCAGTTTTTGCCCGACTCTGGTGAGTATTTTTTTCTGCCAATTCCGGGGTGAGGGGGATTGCGAGTCCGGGAAACGTAAACGAATTTGTAACTCGATGATGTCGGCAACGCAGCTCACTTTGCCGTAGAGCCGTGTCCCAATTTCATTATGCAAAAAACCAAGGGCTATGGCACTGACTCCCCCTCCCGACTAGAATGCATCTCCCAAAAATGATTAAACAAAACACTGGGTACAAAATAGAACCAGCCGGATGCTTATATATCACAGATTTCCATTTCGTAAATAAACATTTGCCAAACATTGGATTTCGGCAATGGGCTTACCGAGCGCCATGACTGCTAGTCCGTAAATGGTCAAAGTTTCACACAAAAAGTGGTCAAAAAATTATAGACGAAATATAGGCCAATACCAGGGAAACGGCTCACTTCAAAATATTTTTTCATACTTAATTTTGAAAGTTATTTAAATGTTGGATTTTTAATTTTTTTTTTTTCTAAATTTTTTGTAAAGTTTATCTTCAGAAGAAACTATTTTATTATCTTGGTTTGAAGGGAAAAAAACTCACATGTTAGGAAAACGCAAAACAAATGGCTATTTTTATTCATAAAAGTTATCTTACTATCATTCCAAACATGTCTTTTATAAACCATATTTTATGACTCTTAAGATTTGGTACAAGAAAATATGTCTTTTAAATTTAATGACTGAGCTGAGAGGTAAGACCTTGTATTAAAAACTTTTACTATATTAATCTTCCTAGAACGATTATTTTCCTATATATCAAAAATTATTAAAGTTTCTTCTAACCTACATATTTAGACTTAACATGATATTTAATTTTTTCGCTTACAAATCAATAAATTGAAAATAAAAATCCCTCTTCGAAATGTCCATCTTTCAAGGACTTTCTTTGAGTCTCAAATAATTACAATAGCCTTTTGGCAAGGCCACAAAAAATGAAAAATTATATAAAGGAATTTCCAAGTTGTTCGTCCTTTTTTGCTTTTCAGCTTTTTTTTTTTTTTTTGGTCTTTAATCATTTTGAAACTTTTTGAGGAGAACGCGTTCGGCCTGGTCATCGTTTGTTGGCTGTTGTCACGGCATTTTCTGCTGTATAACATTTTTATTGCCTATATATTTATCTGTCCAGACTTGGCCATTATTTTCCCCACAGTCGTTGTTGTTGTTGTTGTTGTTTTTGTGGCTTCTTTGTTGTTGTTGTTTTGACTTTATTTCATTCGACTGTGGAGTTTTTATGACACTTTTGCGCTGTGTTGCTTTGCTGTTTGGCTGCAAATATGCAAATTTACCTCGACAGACTCCCAACAAAAAAAAAATAAACATAAAACCAGGGACAAGCCTACCAAAAAAAAAATATATATATAAAATGATTTTTTGTTGGCGACATTCGGGAGGCTGGTCTGGAGAGAAGGCGATGGGAGAAGGAAATACTTATGCACTTTTGGCCAAAAGGCATATTTAAGGCCGACCTGATGAGCGGCTGGTTGCTGGCCAAGGAGACGGCTTTTAGGAGTAAATATGTACATTTTGACTCGAAAGTTGGGCCAAGATAAAGGTCATAAAGTTTGTCTACTGATATTTGCCAAAAGAAAGACTCCTATACGTGCCTGAATATTTTAATTCTTGTTTGTGAGTGATTTGGAAAAGTTGCGGCCAAAGCTGCGGTTTATCTTCTTACATTTGGGAAACTTTCCATTGGTTCTTTGGCTCTTTATTTTCGTATTATGAATTTTCAATTTTCCATCGGGGAAACCCAAGTGGAACAAAGGAACAGCCCAGCCAGTGACAAAAGCCGAGAACTTTAATTAAATATCAATTTCCGTTGCGGCATCTGATCTGCTTGCAAGTGTATGTGTGTGTGTCTATATGCGTGTCTGTGTGGATGTCCTGTTTGCGGGTGAGCGTTTTGTTTGCTTGTGTATTAGTCGGTCTTTGATCTATCAAATGGCAAAGTCTATTCCTAGAAAGCACACATAGGAAAAGTGGAAAAGCCACAGGAAAACTCATTTACTTGACCAGCCAGGGAGTGGGGTGGGGGGCTGTTGGGTGGCAGAAAGAGATAGCGATAATGTATGCAACACATCACACAGAACACACACACCCACACCCGCCCACCCGCTCTGGTGGCAAACTTTTGCGAATGTGTTTGCCTTGCCCTTTGTCGTTTGTCGTTTTGCAGCTCGCAGGCAAATGGCAAAAGTTTCTTGGCCGGTCGGAGGGAGAGGGTGGCACCGATAGTGAAAGAGATAGGGCTAGAGATCCTTTGACCCCCGCCGCAGCCCATTCTCCTCAGCCAACCCATACATCCCATGCGTGGCATTTGAAATGCTAATGGCAGATGAGCCGAAAGCCAAAGTCCGAGCCAAAAACAGAAACAGATTCCAGTCCCCGGCCTGGGCCTAGGCCTGAGCCAGAGCCCGAGCCCGAGCCAGAGTCTGCCTTTTGGCTCATAATTGAATGTTTTTGGCCACTGCAGTGCAGAGGGCCAGGACCAAGGACAAAACTGTTGGCTAACTAATTTAAATATCATGAATTTAACATAAATATGTGTGCGTCGGAAAAAAAAGCCGACAGAGACAAAAGGCAGTCAGCATATCACACTGATCTGAGTTGACCCTAGAGGGCCAAGACCCCTCCCCAGCCTCCCCCTTCCCAGGACACTCTTGACTTTTTGTTTGTCCAACAAACATCATATACATGTGAGTGCTTTTGCTGGAAATCTGCATAAACAAATAGTGGGAGAGAAGTTTCTGTAAACTGTTGGGGTCAGCAGACAGGATATGGGAACACTGGGTCAATGAGCAAAGGACTCTTGTCTTATTTATATTTATACGTTTGTTGGCCAACTAGATATGGCGGCCTTTTAATCAAAAGCCAGAAGCTGGAGAGCCAAACTGTGGCCAGAATGGAAATCAAACTGATCAGCAATCCCTTTTTCTTTGCATATCAAATAAATAAACTTTTTTTCTGCTGACTGGCCCGTTTGGCAGAGCACCCCCCAGGATGTGCCCCCCTCAGTACAACTCCTTGAAAATACACCCCCTCGGAGGGAAAAAGAAAAGCAACATTAAAGGCAAATAAATAATTTCGCCTTTGACTTGGTCCTTCGGCTTTTATCGGGTTTTGTAATAAATTTAAAGTTGTCTCTGGCGTTGACTTATCCCCTCCTTAAAAAAAAGGAAGACCCCATCGCCTCAGCCCCCTGTCAGTCTGTTTTTTAATTTTATTTTCGTCGTGCTCTACTTTTAGTCCCCAGCTAAGCCGGAAGGGATCAAACGGTTTTCCCTGCCCAGTAAAAAATGGATAAAAACGAGCCACCAAAAAAGAGTGTATATATATTTATATGAAAAAAAAGAGGAGAAGAAATAACATTTCGACAGCTGCCCGGGAGGGAGAGGGTTGCCTTTGGGTCAATGAGCATCAGAGGTTGACTGCATAATTTATGAACATAAATGGGCGTGACAAGGGATTAGGCCGAGGGGGCGGGCGCTGGCCGGTCAGCTGGGTCGGGGGTGAGGAGGGTCACCTAATGACTTGGCCCAATGCAAAATGCATGCAAATTGTCAGCGGCAAAGCGAATTAGAATTAATTGAAAATATGGTTTACGGAGGCCAAAAAATGAGGTGAAAATATGAATCAGGCTCATTCAAGGGATTATACAACAAGCTAATGAAAATTAACTTTAGATATCACAATTATGTATTTATTAATAACACAGAATTTTTCATTTCTAAATATGCTTGAGATGCAAAAAGTATTTTTTTAAGAAGAGGTTGTGGTTAGAGCCCTTTTGACGCATATGGATTTGGAGTATATGGATATATGGAGTCCATATTATGGACGATCCTTCACGTGAACGTGACATCCTAGTAGAACGGAGACTAGGAGACTATGAAGACTCAAAATTCACTTATTGAGTAAAGTTGTTACCCATCCATTTAATAGGTTGCCGTGCTGAAAACCTGTTCTAATAAATTTCAATATAAGCTTGATTTTTCAAATACTTAATTTTCTGTTGAAGGCTATAAAAATGCAGTTTGGCGATCAGCCATTTTGCTAGTGATGGAAAAAGCTAGTACCAGAATAAGTAAGAGGTATCGATTAGCATAGGAGGACGGGTATCGATAATTCCTTGAAGTGCAATGCATATGTATTTTGTTTAGATGTTTATAAATTTTTAATAACACTGTACTTCAATAAAAAACTAGTGGAATTAATAAGTTTCTAATTGAATGACTTGTTAAGAAAATATATTCCTGAAAATCGACTGTATTTGCGATGTCTTTCCAAATTTCATCCTTTATTTTACTAGGATCCATTTTTTTCTCCTAGCTTATCTATTTTGTTTAAAATCCTATAGGAATACTTATCATCTTTTATGTTGGAAGAACTACCTAGTGTGACCATATACACTCAGTTTGAGAATTTGTGAGCTTGCGAACCCTGGTCTCTCTAATAAAGCGCTGCCAAAAAAGCGAAGCAATCAGGGAGCCGTTGCCTTTTCCCTTTATTTCTGCCTCATCGCATAGACCTTGTCGGACAGTTCAGATAGCTTGTGACTTAATTCAGAGCATTTCGTCGCGTCGACCCTGCTACACACAATCTGTTTTGTTACATTTTCGGCCCTAAAAAATTTTAAAGCCAAAAAACCCAAAAAGTAACCAAAAATTTGTACAAAACGGAACAAAATAAAAAAAATTCAAAACAAAATTTGGTAAGATTCGTAGTCTCAAAAAAGAAAACAAGTGAAAAAACAATCCATCCAGCAAACAGCTTTGCCTTCGCCACAAACTACAACCATCGTTCGCTATGACGTCCGCCTTGGTGCTCCTGATCACCACCGTGCTGCACTTCGGCCTGCGCGGCAGCTGCTTCCTGACCCTCGATAACTTCCCGGTGGTGCCGGGCACCGTTTACGCCGGACACATCGCCTACTGCGCCGTGCTGCACTTCCTGCACGACATTGAGATCCTGCCCAGCCGCTATCGCAACCGCATGGGGTGGCTGGCCGCCTTCCTGCTGGAACTGGTGCTGGGCGTGGCCGTGATGGAGGTCCTGGCCTTGTGGCTGTGGTGCAGTGTGGAGCGCATCGCCCACTTGACCATTCTCCTCGTGCTGCGCCGGTACGGTGGCTTGTCCGCCCAGTTCATACAGCAGTGGGAGGCGGTCATCATGGGCGGAGTCATGACATCGCTGGCGATTGTGCTGTGGCTGAACGCCTACGTTGCCACGGATCCTGTAGCTAATGACCCACCAGCTGCAAACCCGACCCCGTCACCCAGGTCGACTGCGATCGCCGCTGCCAGTATCAAGACGAAGCCCAAGAGCCGTTCCCATACCAAGGAGAAGCGCCGCTCTAAGGGGCAGGAGGAGTTTGAAACAAAGGAGCCCGATGATAATGTACAGGATCTCTGGAATCCGGAGGAGCTTAAGGACCTGGAGGCTTCGCAGGAGGACGAGGAGGTACCGGAACTGGTGCCGATGCAACCACTGGAGGACCAGAACCTCGACAAGGATGGGGCGGTGAAGCTTCGCGGGACGGAGCTGCGAGTCTTCAAGGATCCGGAGCTGCAGTCCGAGTTCGAACACGGCTCCACCACTGAGTGCTAGTCGAAGCACCAACCATTCTGGCCGTCCAGCAACCATCCTGACCCCCAGTTCCTGTACCCCCTGCAACAAACTCAACTAGCAAATAGTTCCAGTACCATCACCGGCAAATGTATTTATTCCAGCCAGATGGACTCCAAAAGGCTCTAAGGACCATGGCAAAAGGATGTTCGAAGAGGGCTAGCGAGAGGAGCGGGAAGAGGGCGAGTGGGGCTGGTGTGAGGGTGGAAAATGATGGACTGCAGTAAAATGTCTATGAAAATTGACTTGGCATTTCTAAAAAGGGCATTCAGAGTCAGCCGGGCGGAAGGAGCTGCCAGCGCCTGGATGCGCGTCAATTGACAAATTGTCCTGGCCCGCTCTAGCCTGTTCTGTTCTGTTCTGTGCTGGCCGCCAGGTCTGGGTCCAGGCCATTTCCATTCTGCCTCTCCTCTTTGGGTGCTTCGCCCCTGCGACGACGAAAAGTCATTCAAGCTCTTGTCTAATTTCATTTCATTTCACTCGAAGGCCAATTTTTTGGTTTCTGTCTATTATTCATATAAAATTTCCTCCTTTTTTAGGCAGTAATTTTTGGTAGGCAGCCGGGCAGGCAGGATGGCAGGCGGACCAGGCGCAGCATTACGTATACGCCGTGTTGTTCACGGAATTATGAATTTTCTGTGTATGTGCGTGCCTAAGCAAACAATGGGCCGAGCGCGGAGCTTTTGTTTGTTTCCTTCACCCACACAAGCACACAATACACAACACACAGGCCCACACAAACACACGGATACAGATACAGATACAGGACGCACACACACATACACTTGTACAAATTGCGGTGCGTGCCTGAGTTGTATATTTTTAGGAACATTGCTTCGAAAGTATTTTAAAGACGGTCCACCGACTCAGATGAAAGCAATAACAGGAGGGATGCTATTTGCGAGGGGCGGGGGCCCATGCCACCCTCTGGACATACAGGGGTTGCTTGTTAAAGGTGGCTTACTGGAGCAGAGGGCGCCACAGGGAGTGGCCAAGGGACTCGGCCAGACTCGACCATCGATGATGATATCCTTGATGCTGTGAAAACTTCCCATCTTGATGTGCATAGAATTTTTCTTTCTCCATTTTGAATAAATCGAAAATGATGGCAATGACTGGGGGATTAGTAGGATTTTAAGGAAATAAATTGTTGGCTGTAATTCATTTGATCTTGCGATTAAATAAATTGTTTCTTAAGTGAAAGGCAATTAGAGTTTGTTCGTTTTAGTTCTCTAAAATTTGTTAAATATTAATCAAAAGCATTTTAGACGACGTCGAGGACGTAGCTTCCGTTGCATGTAAGAGGTCCCGGCGTTTATTTTGTTGTCTTCAAGGTTTCAAATGAATATCTTAACCATTAAATTATTATATTGAAATTAAAAGGTGGCTTTAATTGAATTAAAAGGTGGCTTTAGCAAATATCATCATCAAAATAAAACCCTGCATTTCTTCTAAAAGCCATTCTGTTTTTATGGAATAATTCCCTATGACTTTACAACACTTTCTTTTCTACTTCTGCTTCTACCAACATCAAAATATTAAATATTAAAATTGACTTCTATCTTGAAATCAATGCCAATCGTTAATTATCCTTACAGCTTTTGCTGATAACCTCGGCTGGGCTGATATTGATTTCTATTTAATTTAAATGCCAATTTATCACTTTCAATCATTTGTGCCGCCAATTTGAAAAGAAATCCTTCTAAATTCGAGTAAAAATCATGGCGGGCTTTTATCTCTTCGCTCACCCCAGCAAATAATGTTGTTATCCTTAGAGCTTTTAGTGAAAATTTTCGCTTTCGCTTTCATCCGGTGTCTGTGTGTCGCCGTCCCTGTCTCACTGAGTGGCAGACTGTGGAGGGGCGGAGTGTCCTTCGGGCCACCAGCTGAGGCCGAGGACAATGACAGAGCGGAGGCTAATTAGCGTCGTCAACATGGGCCACCTTAAGGTCCTTCCATCCTCTGTAAAACCAAAAACGCCAAACCCCAACCCCCGAAAAACGAGGCCCATTTTCACTCGGCTTGTGTTTGCAACATGATGCACGCGTCCCACGCGGCGCAGGACACAAAATGAGTTGGCCTAATGATGATACAGCACCACTAACCCACTAACTCACCAAGCCATCCACCCATCCAACCATCCTCCCGACATGCAAAACGCCAACAATAAAAATGTCACTTTTGCGTGTCGGGCAGACGGGAGGAAAACATTTTCACCAAATCGCAAAAATTACAAAAGAAAAAAACCAGTGTGGCTGGGGTTGGGGTTGGGGGAGGGATGGTCTTATCATAAATCACGAAACCGCTCACTGGCCACGCCCAGAAGGGGGCTAATTAATTAATTAGCAACAGCGTCTCATCATCATCGTCACCAGCGCCGCCGACGTTGGTCGAGAAACTTCTTCTTTTGCGTGACAATTCCGTGAGTTCTGCATTATTATTATTATTATTATTATAAAAGTACATATTTTTTTTGGCCTGGCCAAAAGCGAATTGTCAGCACAAAAACATGGCCAACAATTAGCGAATGGAATTTGCACTTAGTTTCTTATCGGCACGCACCTCATATTTTTTCGTCCTTTGTAGATTTATGTGATTGATGCACGATCCTGGCACTTGTGGTAAGTAGGAGCGCACTGCCACAAGTGCCAAGGATGTCGTGTCAAGGCGCGACAAACAATGCCAGACCTCTCCTTAGGCCCCCGCCCCAAAAAAACACAAATTATTCTTGTTAATAAACATTTACAACCGATATCGAATCGCCAGGATCTAGTCAAAAAATAGTTCCACTTTGCATTTAATTAGTCCGCACTGGAAATAAGTTTTGCACATTTTACGCCTCAGTTGGAAACTTTTTGCATATTTTTTGATTATTTCTGATTGCGGCTCCCAAGCAGCCCTCATTGTTTCCCACTTTGACTTTCCGTCGATTTAACTTTCAGTTTTGCTGCTCAATCTTGTCGGAAATTATCCTTGAAGTGTTTTGTATTGATTGCACTTCTGGCAGGAAGCGCTGCGAGAGGAGAACAAACAGCAAAAAAAAGGCCACAAAATTGCATTTAAACACATTTTTCGTTCGTCCCCGAAACGCAAAACTTGTTGGCCAAGTTTCCAACATTTTTGTTTTGTTTTTCGAGCATTGTGTTTGGATGCTTTATGAAAATTTCAAGTACATAAAATTTTTATGATTTTTCAACAAGTGCACACACTGTGTAGGTAGGTCCTCGTGCCTGTCTGCGTTGTCTGTGTGTGTGTGTGTGTGTGAGTTACTGCGGAATCCTGAATTTGATTGCCACACGAAACACACAAAAACACACGCAGGGAGAGCTTTTCAGTCTTTATTGCTGCTGTTAATCTGCAAAAATTTGTAACATTTTCCAATTTGGTAATCGTCTGAAATGTTTTAAAATGAGCGAGAACAATGTGTCTGCCACACAGACTTACGCACGCATACATATATTTGTATATATGTCAGTGTGTATTTTTGGTATTTTCGCGGCAGCATTGTTTATGAAAACACCCTCGGCGCAGAATTGTAAATTAAATTTTGTGCAGCTGCAAAAAGCAGGAGAGCAGGAAATGGGCTCCACACAGCCCCTAATTGATGATGAAGCCACTCAATGTTTACCTGCCGCAATTATAAATTAATGGAGCGGTTTTAGTTGCAGCTCCGGCCCCCAAGGATACGGGCTCTAAGCACTGAGCATTTGAACAGAATTAACGACCCCGAAATACAAAGGGATATCCTTTTGAATACATCGGAGTTCTGGGGGTTCGCATAATCTAATTTTGCATGGTTTAGTTTTTTGGTAGCAAACAGGATTCAAGTTTTGAAATATGTGCGATGTTTTTTGTTAGGTATTTTTGTATTTTTATTAAAGAACCATTTTTATAAAACTTAAATCGAATTATTTATTTTTCAACTTGAGTCTTAAGTATCTTATAATATTTGTAGAAAACACCTCTATATGATCTCTTGAAGGACCTCCAAAAAAGCACTTCACTTTAATATTTCCTTAAAGGCAAACTAGGTCTCAAGCCACTTAAAAAGTCTCAAGTTTGAAATACTTTACTCAGAAATAAGTACAGACAGAACGCCATTTAACCGAAGAACATTCAACCTTTAAGCCAATTCAAGGGCCATTACCACTCTGCCCTCCAATAGACTACAATTTCCCTCATAACGTTTCATTATCTGATATGTCGAGCGTTTCGCTCAAAAATGCCTTTCCCTTTCGGCTCCCTTTGGAGGAAAGTGGCGAAACTGCTGCAGGATATTCGTGGGAGTGCAGTGAAGTGAAGTGAATTGTAGCCACGAATGTTTCTGACTTTTATGCCTGTCGCCTGTCAACGCCTTCCGAAAAAGCAGTGGTCAGAGCCTGAGAAGTGGTGAGCTCGAGAACCGGAGGACCTGAAGTCTTGACCCTTGCAGGACCAAATGAAAAACGAACAAAAACAGTGGGCAGGAGGCGGACTTGTCGGCTGGCCAGGGCTTAAACATTGTGACATTGATTTTCATTCCACAGGCTCACATGCACACATTTTTTCGGGGTCTTGACTGGATTCTTTTCTGCCAATTTCGAGAGCGAGTTGGCTCGAAACAGCTGCTACCTAATTGAAAATTTCACACGTTTTTACTGGTGAGCTAAAAAATGTGGAAGCTTTTTATTTTCTTTCTCTAGACTCCAGATTTTTATTGAATTTAGGTAGTTTAGGGAAGTATCAATATTGAAGAGTTTGAAACACGAAAGAGTATTCCCTTTAAAATGATGCTTTTAAAGGAGTGTCTAGAAAAATAATACTTAAGCGGGGCATTTTTTTAAAGGCGTGTAGTTTTTCTCTTCATAATACTCTTATTTATTTTCATTATTAAATTAAATTTCCGAGGAAAACTAGGAAAGAATGAAGCAAGGTGTAACTACACAAGTTTTCTTCAACAAATTATTTGCAAGCTTGGAAAAGCAGGTAGGTATTTGTTAGTTTTTCTTGTTACAAAATGTCTTTTCCGTAGCCTTCCTTGGAGACTCTATTTTTTATTTATATTTTTATGGCCTTTGTTATTTTCGCCGACGATCTGCAGGTGGTTCTCCGCCAGTCAAGGCCCTCCCGTCAAGGACTTCAACAACAGGTGAGACTGGCTATTGATATGCCAGGAGCAGATAAAATAGCAGCAAAGTTTTTCAATTTGAATTCAATTTAAAGTTGAAGCTGCCATACACTCGGATATATACATACGTATACATTA